ATTTATGTTGCAAGTAGTATTTGCTTTAAAAAAAATCATAAATGATTGCTTTTGCATGTTTAATACTAGTGCCTTTCCTTTTGAGGATTTCCTGAAGAATTCCCAATCAGAATACATGGAAATAGATCTCCTTTGCCTTGCATTCTAGTGGTTGGAAAAAGCATAATGAATACACCTTGTGATGTAATATTAATACATTTTTTATATTCATAATGGAATATGCTCAGTGAGACAAGGCAGATGCTTACATTAAATGTGTTTGGACCACTTTGGCTGTTGGCATCAGACTTCTTGTGTCTTATCCATCATTTTCTGCATAGATAAATGTTACTGGAAATCAGTTCTGATAAGATCGATGATTTTCCTCAGAAGCATCTTTTAATAACAATGAATAATCAGTGTTTGAGTCAAGAAACATGATTTCTTTAAATCCATCCTTCATCCTCCCATTCCCCTGTTTTAACCCTCCAGAACGGCAATGTTTTTAATGCATGTTTTTAAATGCCTCTGGTGGCTGTCACTCAGACAGCCACTAGAGGCACTTCCAATTAAATAGCAGAGTAAAACTCGGCTATTTCAATCAGATTCTCTCACAGAAACCATCTGATTAGTGCAGTGTGGCATTTTGCTGCACATGTCCACTAGCCTCCCATTGCTGTCCTATATGGAAGCATTGGAGTGGCTGAGCTCATCAAGATTGATGATCTGAGCTTTCAATGAAATTGCAGATTAAAGCTCTACTAATTCAATCAGATGGTCTCATACACAGTATCTGATAGGAATGCATTGGAGTGGCTGAGATAATTGATCTTAATGATTTCAGCCAAGGAGGTGGGATTGGGCTGCAGAGACCAGCACTGCAAGTGAGATAAGGTAAGTAAAATCACCTTTTTTACTCTCTACAGGGGGCCAGAGACTTAAATGGCCAAAGGGCACTATGGCATTAGAGGTGTTTGTATTCGTAACCCTATAGTTTTCCTTTAACCAATCGCTAAACTTAGATCTTCTGCATCACACAATCACTTCTGTTTTTCAACACTTTAAAGACTCAAGTAATTTCTTTATGTTTTATCTAAAATGTTAAAAATCTTGTTTAGCCTTTAGAGAAGATTCAGTACTAACCCTATAGTGTTCCTTTAACGGATTGTTAAACTTAGAATTTTCTGTATCACACAATCACTTCTGTTTATCTAAACCCTTTAAAGGCCTTAGTCATTTCTTTATGTATTATCCAAAATGTTAAAAATCTTGTTTAGCCTTTAGAGAAGATTCAATACTAAAGAAGGATACTTCATAACTTGCTGCCCATAAAATAGTTTTTGCCAGGTTCCAATGAAAATATCATCACAAACAAGGTCTTTTTCACTGTCAAGCACTGTGAACAAAGCTTTGGATTGATACAATATTGCAGCTAGAGGCTTTAAGTGCTCCTCATCTTTTTGTGTACCTGTACAACTCTAGTCAGATGCGTCATTGATGCGCTTCATCTCGACCCAACACAAGGTTTTACTCTTGGTGTATTGAAGGACTGGCAACAGTCTCTTCCCCAGTGGAGAGCTAATTTATGCAGATCTATTCATTTATTCCTTGAGGCTTCCAACTCATTAACTGTCAGCTTTGGTCGTCACACTTAGTTCATTTACATGTCTGCGGAGTGGGACGGATAGATTTCTCTGCCTCTGGGCTCTCCGCAAGAGGGAGTGTAAATCCCTGCTTGACTTTTTATTTAATCAGGTTTGCTTGAGGATTTAAATTGTCCTGATGTTTTCCAAGAGCTAAGTGTCAAGGACTTCAAACCAGTTAAAAATTCCATTCTTTTTCTTATGTTCTTACAGAAAAAAAGCTGAATATTGTCCATTATTTTTAAAAAATTTTGACTGTTATATGGTGACATTGTATATTTTATCTATTTATGCACACGTGTTTTTTATAAAACTATTCAAAGAAATGAAAATTAAATGATAGATGTGTGTGTCTGTCTCTCTCTCTTACTTTATGGTCATCTATTAAAAAATACACACATCAGACAAGCTTTATTAAAGAGTACAATATCCAAATCAGAGCAAACAACATTGTTAAGTTTGTCAGTCTTGCAAGTTTGGCAGATCTGCTATTGGTAGATGGAGGTAGGATTAGTGTCATTTCAGTAGCCATACAATTGGATGGGAGGCTGCCCACCAGAGCAGCCAATCAGGGTTGTCCATACTCTGACTACTGCTGTAGAGCACATGTATAGATTTAAATGTCCTGAAATACCTTCTCCATGCAGTGTGAGATAATCATGTGCTAGCAGTGCATTTTTCTGTCAAATTCTTTTATGAGCCCTCCAGACATAGGCTGAAAAAAGTAAGTGCATTATACTCAAGTAATATGGTCAAAAGACAATGTTCAGCGCTGCTGTGCACAGGGTATAAAGTAATATATTGTTGATAGGGCTGGGTGAAAAGTCATATTTAATATTATTATGAGTAGTGAATAATTAGTTTTTGTGCAGTAAAATTTAAAAGGGTATGATTAACTATACAAAGCACGTTAGATGGACTAGAAATTGAGTATGGGTATTGTTAACACTGGCAAAAACCCCTACATTTTGTCAACAAATAGGCACCTGCATCTTTCCTTTTGATCAGTAAACCTGGGGGTTTCCAAAAAAGGCTGCAAAGAGAAATAAAATAAAGCAAGCTATATCAAGAATGATGAAAACTATTTGCTTACACAGTAAAAATTGCTTGAATTATTTTGGGAATTGAGAGCATCAGAAATACTATTGGGGTCAAACCGGTGACTGAGATCACTAACAGATCAATACACATGTCTTCATGGCATGTGTTTCATTCTTTGGCAGCTTCCAACATAAAATGGCTTTAGTGAGATTTTTGAGACTGAGAAATATTTAGCAAAGTTATTCCAAATGCCACACCTCAAGGATTACTACACATTTTAGCACAAGAGGGCAGGTCTCATTATTCCCACGATCCTACATCACTTTTATGTCCATGTTGCTGTCTATCACTCCCAAGCTACTATGCCTAAATTAAAGGACACAGTTCATCAAAGTGTCACTTCTTGTACTGTGAAATGTTTATTGCATTTAATGAAACAATTATATTTTTTTAATGATGTCTACTGTTTCTTTGTTTTGTTTTTTGGAGAAGATTTCATCTTCTGACTGATCAGCCACGTGGGGTCAGAATCTACTGTTATCTGACCAACAGTTGCTCAACCTAACCTGCCTGCTACTGTGGTTGCTCTGTGTGAATCTACAACACCTTGTACGTTAGGTTGAGCAGCGGTTGGTCACTTAGACAGTAGACCTTGACCCAACATGACTGGCTGTTCAGCATAGACAAAGGCACCCAATAATGACCTAAACAACCCCTTTAAAAATAGGACGTTCCGTACATTTCCTTAAAAAATGAATTATATTAGTGTGAACTAACAGATCATACGTCCCAACATTTCAAAAGAACAAAGAGGGGCAGTTTAATGTTAGGGGTGTGAGTGGGGAGGAGCTGGTCAGAGAGATTTTAGGTTTCTTATTAATTACAATCCATGCAACCAAAATGTAATTTAGAACAAGCATCTTTTTTGCACAGATTAATTTCTAAATATATTTATGGTACTATAAAGACACATTACTGTGCTGTGATGTGCTGTAAAGCACTGTTAATACACTGAGACACACCAGACTCCTAGAAAAGAGGGACATTAGGATAGAAAAGAGGGATCGAGTGACTAAATAGGGACACTTGGGAAGTCTGCACAGATTGCTGTGCACCCACGGATTAGTCCTTATGCTACTTGTTTAATGTTTTGGTGTGAAGTAATTGTGGTGCACTATTCACTTTACTTCGTAATACATGGCCCCCTGACCACTCAGATTCAGGACATTCCTAGTCATAAAGGTCAGTAGGTGATGGGACTTTTGACCCTCCACTGTAAGAAAATATGACCTGTCTCCTGGTTATGTGGATGCTTGGTGACAATCTCTCATTTTATTTTAGACAGTTGACAAAGATCTGTTGCCAGGAGTGAGGGGTTCTGTAGCCTCCATGGCCAGTGACAGAAATCATTATGCTGGATGGTGGGAGGGTAATTACCAACTTATGTAGTTTGAAAGTGTAATATGGGCTGATCTGCAGATAGTAAATGCTTCCTCTCAATGTCTGCTTACCCCTGTTCTCGCTGACAAATATGTGGTAACTAAGCAACGCAACCCATGTATAAACACAATACAAGGAAGTGTGGTGTTCATGCAGAATATATTGTAATTTGGTAGCATACTATGTGAATACTTTAATTATATATGTATACTGTGTGCATGGGCATATATGTGGTTAAAGACATCCCATTTCCACAGTCCACATCCCCTTGACATTGAGATAATAGATTATTTTGCTAATAAAACAGTGTCTGTAGTGTACAACTTTCAAAAGCTGAAAAAGCAAAGCATTATATCAGAACAGAAATAAAAAAACAAAGAAACCCTAAATAACGTGAGTGTTTTGTTTTTTCTTTCTAGTAGCAGAGCTGTAAGAGTCTAGCCTTGCTGCCAGAAACAGACATTTTTATCTTGTCGGATTGGATTGTACCTTCCACATTGTATTGTGACACTGCCCCTTCCTTTTATATCAGGAGCAAAGGATGCTGGGAATGAGCTACTGTAAATGCTTTTAGTGCTGCAATTTCCTTAAAAATAGATTAGATTCAGCAGATGTTATTATTACAGAAGAAACAACCAAAAAATATATACATGGCAGCCTCTCTACAACCCTAGAACTTCCAAGCACAGTCATTCAGCCCCTATTGTGCATGCTTTTTAAATGCTCAGAGAGAAAGAGGGGCAAGTTGCCCATGGAATGCTATTCATTGTCAGCAGGTGCCTGTGTCATTCTACGTACTGAAATTATACCCTGTATTTCACAAGAGAAGCTAATTTTGTGTTCTCTTCTGTTGTTCAAATTCACAGGTGCTCCATGAGCTTAAAAAAACCCCACCATGATCGGAGAAGCAGATTATTCTGATGATGACAAGTGGTTGAAAAGAAGACATGTTCAAGAACAGTTGTATCCTTGGCACCACTGTAAAACTGACAGCCCGCACTTAGAACAAGAGGCCTGTCATTATATTCAGCCGTGGACATCACTTACAAACCTTGAAATACAGCTTCAGAAAAAAAAATATATATTATAGATGGTAGTAAGGATATTCCTTTTGAACAAAAATATCTGTGATTTTAGCCCTTTACCTTGAACTCAAAAGCAATTTACCTTGAGGATTTCCCTGTGGTAAGATGTATACATCTGTGATAGTACATAAAAATGATGTGATTGTTATATTAATTCTATCACTGGAAGGGAAGGAGAGAAGGGACAATGGAAGGCAAGTAAATGCAATACTGGCTTTAAAATATAAAGATATATTTACTTATATCTGTTTAAAATAGAAACACAAACACTACAGGGTTTTTCCACTAAACAGCAAATTGTACAGAATAAAAATTTAAATGACAATATTAAGAAAAGAAAAACTAGCTATAGTCACAACTTTAATATTTAAGCCTACATTTTGACGTTTGGGCTTTAGTTTGCTAAAATTTTGTAATGAAGCGAATAAACCTTAAAAAAAAAAAAAAATATTCTCAGAATTTCTAAATTTACCAGCCAAATTCTAATTGTATTCATATTATTAACACAAAATATTTTACCTGGCTATAACAAACAGACAGAAACACACAGAAACACTTAATTAATTATACTAATATATGTTGTAAAAATCGCATGCATGCATTTTTCTATTACACGGAAGAAAAAAACATGAAAAGACGTGGCTCGAAGGTTCAAATTCAGATCAGCCACTGTAATTTATGGCATATATTTACACAGCCTGTGCAAATTCTCGCAGGGGCAGTTAGATTTAATTTAGTGTTGATTTATTTCCTAAATATACAAAAATATTGACAATAAATTCACCCTATATAAAACACTATTCAAAACCCAGCAGGGATGCAGGAAAGCTATTTACTGAGGATTTCAATGAATCAGTGCAATGAAAGCAGATTTAGATGAATTTAATAGACTTAATATTTCCCTGCAATTAGTAGGGCTAAGTAATAAAACAGACAATTATTTTCTGTTGTTTTGCTGCTCCCTTCCCCCTCAAAACCTTCCCTTACAAAAATAGTTGCTCAAATTAAAAACCAAACCATCAAATCCCCATTTTATTCCTTTTCATACATGCTAAGTAGTATGCAAATATTGAGGTTTATACTAATTAATATCTGAATTGGAGAATGTTTCAAAATCAGCTTTTGTCGCCTCCATTTTATACATTTGCAGGGTTATAATAATAAATGAGCCCTATTTATTTTAATACCAAACCATCTTTTTTATATGAGTATACTTAAGAGTTCTATTCACTAGAAAAAGAAGTGAGGTGCATTGTTAAGGAAATGGCAATATCTAGCCAAGGTAGACTTGGGGAAAAAAATTGAATAATTGGGAATGCCAACTGATTTTCAGATTCATGGCCAAACTAGCCATGCTGGAAATTTGCTGAAAGTTAGCTATGCTTTCAGTATGGCTACATGCTAAACAGCCCATGCCCTGAGCTCTTGTGTTTATCACAGTGCAAGCAAATTTAGTCACACACTTGTTCTTGTCTGGTGTCTTCCTCTGGTGCGCCCATATATGGCACACCAAAGGACAAAAGAGACAGGGCTTGGAGAGGGTGTTGTGTATGCAGTTTGTTGTGTTGCATATATGGGGGTAAGCTGCTTATGGTGCTGCGTGTGTAGGCTGCTTGTAGTATTGCGTGTTTGTGGGGATTTTGTTTGTGATGTTGCATGCTTGTGGGGATGCTGCTCCTGGTATTGCATGTCTCTGGGGACACATGTGCAGGGCAACATTGTTACACTGTTTGTGGAATAGTGCGAGGAGAGTATGCTTGTGGCTTTGTTTGTTTGCGGAGACGATGAATGTGTCTGGGGGAACGATGCTTGTGGGATTGAGCTGTTTATTCTATTGCGTGTATGTGGTGTTGCTTGTTTGTAAAGACACTGCATGTGAGTTTGCATGTCTGACACCAGAGGCAGAACTGAGGTCATGAGTGAGACCATATACAAATTCATGAAAATTTGCATATGTGTGTCAAATCAGTGAGTGTGTGTGTCTGTCAGTGAGTGTCAAATCAATGAGAGTGGGTCTGTCAGTTAGTTTGTGTATGTCAGTGTGTGTCTGTTAGTGACTCTATGTGTCAGTGTGTGTCTGTCAGTTATAATGTGTGTGACTGTCAATGAAAGTGTGTGTTTGCTGGGAATTTGGGCTTTAGTGTGGAGTTAAAGGACCACTATAGGCACCCAGCCCAGTGGTCTGGGTGCCAGGTCCATCTAGGATTAACCCTTTCTGCTGTAAACATAGAAGTTTCAGAGAATCCAGGTTAATCCAGCCTCTAGTGGCTGTCTCATTGACAGCCGCTAGAGGCGCTTCCGCGCTTCTCACAGTGATTTTCACAGTGAGAAGACACCAGCGTCCATAGGAAAGCATTGAGAATGCTTTCCTATGAGACTGGCTGAATGTGCGCACGGCTCTTGCCGCGCATGCACATTCAGCCGATGACGGGAAAGGAGGCGGAGAGTCTCCACCGCCGATGTAGCCCAGCGGTGGAGAAAAGGTATGTGTTTAACCCCTTCCTCACCCTAGAGCCCGGACCCTAAAGGTGGGGGGGACCTAGAGACCCTATAGTGCCAGGAAAACAAGTATGTTTTCCTGGCACTATAGTGGTACTTTAAAGAGGCTATAGTGTAGAGGGGGATGGGAGATGGGGGATGTGGGATATTGGTGTGTTAGTGTGGGTGGATATGTGCTGTATTATTGGGGGTTGGGGCAGCATAGATGAATCATAGCATTGCTAGGTAACCTGTGTCAACCTGCGACAACGATCTGATCCACTACAGTGAGCGATTAACATGGTTTGCTGTACCTGCTGGAGTTGCAGATTGCAAGATGCCTAGACGCCCACCAGGCGCTTGCCGGATGGCTAGCCAGTATTCTTGCATCATAGACAGTATGTTGTCCCCACCCCCTGCTATGCCTCCATAGGACCTCCAGTAAAACTAGGAAAAATCCCCAAATTACATTTATCTTACACACTAAGCAAACACAAAGGACTGATAGGTGTGAATAAACAGATGAGGGTCTACTTGAGCCTCTGTGCACCGCAGGTAGATGGCATACAGAGCTTGGGCAAATGCTATAATTTGATGAAAAACCTGACACAACATCTGTCATGAAGCTTAAGATAGGATTGCCAGGATCCTCTGGTAACCAGGAAAGACTCCCTTTCCTCAATCATCAACACGTGGTATGGAAGATGCATTATAAGCTAGTGAAACTGCCAGGAGTTCTGCATTGTGCTTTATCAAGTTTTGTGAGGAAAACCTCATTTTATGGTTCTCTTAATTTTTTTTTAGTTTTTCTTTCCATAGGTATTCGGAAATGACTTCAGGTAAGGCTTGGACATCATGAAAATTGTAAAGACATGATTGCTAGGAATATTTTGGAAATAATAATTTGTATTAGGGATAAAAATGAGAGCTGGCTGGCCAATTTTTTTTTTTTGTAGTAATTTTCAGGGTTATTCACTAAACTCCAAACTATACCAAGTTTGACATTGCAAAAATAAAATAGTTGATCTGCATAAATCACAGTTTAACTATTTTGGCTTATATTTTGCTATTTGGATTTCAATTTGATACTATTTGGAGCTTAGATAATGACCTTTCTGGAGTTGAACATCGCAACTATAATTTATTTTATTTTTTAAGGAAGAAGGCAAGGATCGGGACATCACCAGTGTTCTGTCCAAAACCTTAACTGCACTGCATTGGACAGCTGTTAATGGGAGCTTTGTTCAAAATACTTTATTGTGTTTATCTCATGGTGTGTATTCCCTATTAAACTAACAGGCTTAATTACTAAAATGTGAAATGTTATCGTGAATTTAAAGGGACTCTATAGTCACCAGAACAACTACAGCTTATTGTATTTGTTCTGGTGAGTATAATCAGTCCCTTCAGGCTTTTTGCAGTAAACACTGTCTTTGCAGAGAAAATGCAGTGTTGCATTATAGCCTAGGTACACCTCCACTGGCCACTCCTGACATGGCTAATAAAGGTGCTTCCTGGGGTGGTGCTGCAAATTGTGCAGCATTGCAATTTAGTGCCCTCACCCTCTGCATGGAGACACTGAACTTTCTTCATACAGATGCATTGATTCAATGCATCTCTACTAGGAGATGCTGATTAGCCAGGGCTGTCTTTGGCTGGTGCTGGCTCTGACCATGATCAGCTATCTGATCTCCTATGATCTCCTATGGGAAAGCATTGTGATTGGCTGAGATCATCACTTATGATATGTCAACCAAGGAGGCAGATCAGGGAGAGAGCCAGCAGCAGACTGAAATAAAGGTACCATTTTACTATATTTTGAGGGGTGGGTGCTAGATGGTTCTTTAAACACTATGGGGTCAGGAATAAAAGTTTTTGTGTGTTCCTGACCCTATAGACTTTTAAAGACCATATCAAATTTTAGGCCAAAATAGGTTAATTGGAAATATTATCCAAGTCAGTTATGTTTACAGTTTGGTTTTTTTGGCCTTTGAATTTTAATTTTGAATTTCACTTTAAATTTTTAACAATTCACACTTTAGTGAATAACCCTGTCAGGAAATCTGACTCCAGCCAGTAACTGACCAATTAGAAATGCCTAAACTTCACTTTCAAATATCTAGCTGTCCATCTGCAACATTGTTGCCACTGTTGACTAATTATCCTTGCACCTCATACGGTGACAGCAGTCATCTTCCTCTTTCTCCATCTGCAGAAGGGAAAGGTGGGCCTTTCATACAGATTTCATACAACTACTAATGCTAAGACACTTTAAAGAACATGGTTTAGGTAAATAGATCTAGTCTCAACAAATGTTTACCCCTCCCACTCATCTCTCTGATACTATGGATCACCAGTTTAAAGGGACACACCAAAACAACTTTAGCTTAATGACACAGTTTTGGTGTATAGACCATGCCTCTGCAATCTCACTGAAGTTAAATCCCTTTTGTTTCTATTTCTGCTGCCCTAGCCACACCTCTCCTGGCTGTGAGTAACATAGGCTGCATGAAAAAATGGTTTAATTTTCTATCAGATGTTAACTTGTTTTAGAAGTTTTGTATCTCCTGCTCCATGAATTGAGCTTTAATTACATATCGGAGGCTCCTGTAGGTTCTAGAAGGTTAATAACTGAGCAGGTGATAACAAATTTTAGATTAAACAGATTGTGCAATAAAGGAAGGTAGAATATCTTGTTTCCTTTTCAGGAAGTCAAATGCAGGGAGGTGTGACTAGGGCTGCATAAATAAAGTGATTAAACTCCTAAATGGCATGGAATTGAGCAGTGAGACTGCAGGGGCATTATTTATACACTAAAATGGCTTCATTAACCTGAAGTTGTTTTGGTGCCTATAGTATCCCTTTAAAGCAAACTAAACTAACATAGTGAAACAAAGACAAAATCTCTTGAAATATCAAGATGTCCCTCAAAATAGTCTTTTTAAATAAGAAATCAGCTTGGTATTTTTCTTGCATTTGTTTTTTTTTTTTCTTTTACATGGAAAGGATTCTCCGTAACAGATGGTAATATTGCAATGATTCTGGTGCTCTTTAAGTGTCACATGTGCTTTAGTCTTGTTACGCGACTGTCTCTATTTTATATGAGAACTTGCTAACCACTGGCGATCAATCCAGACCCTATCAGGGATACTCACACCTTTTTAACTAGTACAGTAGTGTGTTAGTGAAGTGTGTTACAGTCACACTTCCAACTGTATTGAAGGTCATCAGGTCCACCATGTTTGCCTGGACACACACCATTTATACGTACTGATGGGCAGAATATGAAACTGTTACCCTGCTGTATGTTGAACCCAATGCTACAGTCAGGCAATCAAGTCAGTCATCAATGAGGAATCTTGCAACACGTCATTTTTACATACAGCAAACCAGTACTTACCATGTGCTTGCCCATTAACATGAGGACATGTTTTCAATAAAACATATTGGATCTGTTAGTACCAAATATATCCCTTGTTGTAATGTATGCAGGCATGTTACAAAATATACCCACCAATCCACAGGTTTTGGGTTTTTTTGGTACCGCTATCGCAAACTTCTGAAAGATTGCAAAGCATTTTGATTCCATCTGGTATATATCATTTATATGCTTGGGAGGAGGAGGGGGTAAATCCAGTAATTCGTGAATTGTACATATTGAAGGGCAGGTCTCTTCATGTATTGATCAAGTGCAATAGGAAATTATATGGGACTAGGACAGATAGATCTGGAAGTCATAGAGTCAATCACACAGTGAACTCTGCAAGGAACTGAATTTACATAAGTATATATACATTAATGTGTGGAATCCATATCCAACTATAGAAAATTACAGTATTATTACAGATAACAAATGTAGCAATTTGTAAGTGTTTATTGCAGTTTTGATGGTATAACGCTGCATGTTTGTTTGATTCCGGTCTAAGATTTCAGTCAATTTGCATAAGCTGATAGCAGACGGATAGGATTGGTTTTCAAGGACTAAAATCAGTAGGGCATTTCTTATCAACCTGGTATTAATTCACTATCTGGAAATGTGTGCTTTCCAAAAAAAAAAGTCATGCCAGTCTTTCTATGCAGTCATTGTCAGGATTTCCTGCCTTTTCAACAGAGACAGCTGAGATTTCACAAGCGGTTGGTGCCACTCCTGAGCTGTCAAGTGAGAAAGATCAGCATGCAAATTAATACTTAATGTGATCTCCTTATTGGTGTGCTCCCCAAAAATGCATCCATCGCTTGACAATATCTTTCACTAAAACAAATTATGCATGTATGTGTGTGTGTATATAATTACATATTTGTGTGTGTGTCTGTGTGTGTGTATATATATATATATATATATATATATATATATATATATAAATATAATATATTAGTAATATTGAAAAATACTGTACAAAAAAACAGTTTATCTTGTATGACAATGATGGGATTAAGCACATAAACATATCTGGAGTAACATTTTTAAAAGTGATGCAATCACCGTGGAAACCAATATACTATTTCTGCTGATTGATTCACTTTTAGAATTCTGCTCTTGAATTGGTCTTTATACAAAATTCCCCAATGCAACATGTTTCTTTGCCAATGGAGATGCTGTAACCCACTGATCAATTGCTGCACATTTAGCTTTATGTGTGAATATTGCGAAAAATATAAAGGTCTTTATTACCGGCAAAACCTGCATGTTGATTACAGTAAAGTTACTCATACTGCTGAGAAAAACTAATTACAGAGCTATTTACCTACATATCCACCAACTTATGTGTTGTTGATTCTTGGCCAACCTACATATAATGGGGATGCTTCCCCGCTGGCCGCTGTGATGTCATTCATCCAATAGCATGCTGCCAGCTAAGTGGAGATTTGCCCATTTGGCATCAAGTAGCAGCAGTGGGATGGGTAAATTGGTCTGTAATGAGGCTTATGCCAGTAGAATTAGGGTGTATATTTGTTATACTCAGCAGGTAGAATTGCAAATAATAAAGGTTTTAATATACTTGAGTAGTTCCCCTTGTGTAGAAAGGGCTGCACATTGAACATTAATGCTAAATCTGGGGTCCATAAGCTAATGGCATTTTCAAATTAATTGTGTAAACCATTTTCATGCTTCCAACTTTACTGTTGGGGGCAGTAACTAAAAGCAGGTAGATTAAAAACCTGGCAAATGCTAACTATGTACATATCACAGTGTCACGTCTTATACAAGTACATATTATTTTGTCAAAAAAATGACATTTCTACAGGACATCAAATCTGCATTGTAAGAAAAAGCTCACAAAATGCAAGGATTTCTAGTTAACTACCGCAAGATACTTAGAACAAATAAGCAGGTAAGCAAAAGGTGCAAGAGAAAAATGATAGGTACTAACGGGTTAATTTATGAAAATTAGGAAATTGTGCCAAAATGGCTAGAAAGCTAAATCGGACATGTTTCCAGCTCGATTTGTTTGCTCTAAATTTAGCAAACATAGTTTTCGGGTAAGAAGAGACAGAGATCGCAACTGCTTCAAGCTTCAAGGGCCATTGTAAGCAACATAACAATGTATGTTTTTTGCATAAGTTATGATTCAAGAAACAGCTCTCTTATTGTGTTTGTACAGCAGCAATTTGCCAAATCACTGCACCTATAAGACTGTGCTTCCATCTACGTTGTGCATACAGTGTGCCATGTGAAACACTACCGCCCCCAAGCTGTGACTGTGTGCATGCATAGTTGTCAGCTTGAGAGTCTACTTTGCATCACCATGTTCACAGAAATGTGTATAAACATTTAATTGCGCCATTTCTTACTTGCTCTATTAACCAAATGGCAGGGAAATGCGCATAGTAGTGCACTGCAAAATATATACAGAATTTTATGTACATATTTTGCATTACACTGGACCATTTTTGGATCCCTTTTGCTTTGTCTGTTTTGTTTACCTGCAATGATTGAATGGGTGAAATTCAAATTTCAAATTGAAACACCAGAGCTGGACGAATTTAGGTCCACCAGAACTAATACTTTTTTTTTCCGCTATGCACGCAGTTCATCTGTAGTTACTATTACTCTAGCCAGAGTAGTATAGGAATGGAGTGACTCAATCAAAATACTGGTGTGTTGGTAATGAGGCCTTCATGTCTGCCTTGTCAGAGAGGAATACCCTGCTTGGGTCAAAGGATAACAAGTCAGACAAAAGGAGGGATGCAAAGGAGACAACAGGTGGATATTACAATAGTGTAATAAACAGAAAACTGTGGTCATGGTGCCAAAGTAAACGTTTAGATTTTAAAATCTATAGCAGGGTTGCCCAAAAGGTAGATCCACATCTGTTGTGAAACTATAACACCCATGATGCTTAGCATGCTTTTAGAATGCTTTAGAATTACAAAGAATCATGGAAGCTGTAGTTCTACAACATCTGGGGATCTACCTTATGGGCACCCCTGATCTATAGGATAAATAATCACTGCAAATATCATTACTAGATGGAGTTAAAGTAAACCTGTCATGACAAATTCACATTGCTGTCTATCAAATCTTCCAGGTTTTGTGCTCGTTGAAATGAGGAAATCAATATGGTTGGTTTGTCTAATGTGGACCTACGGTCTCCTGGGTGGTGGTATTTAATGGATGAGCCCTGACATCTATAATTTGTTCTATTTTATGTTGGTTAAGTTGAAGCAGGCTTGCATCAGGTGTTCAATGTCCTCAAGGCTTACAGTGATGACGCAAGCGTTGTCTTTTTGTTAGTGCTTTTTATATATGTTTGTAATATGGGTGATAAATCACACCTCATTACTCATGTCTTGACTGGAAGTGGTGTCATGTAGTTCAGGATGAATAATATGAATGGTCTGTAGGTGACTACATAGTTTATCTTTGTGCTCATATAGGAGCATTGTGGACCTGATGCACATGCACAATGATCACAGGACACAGATTCAGTGTATTCCTATAGTATAGGGGCTTCTTTTTTATGTGACCATTTTTACTCATTGCAGTTAATGCAGCGGAAGTGGCTCCAGTGAATATCAGTGTAACAAGCACTGGAAGTGTGTTTAACCATCCAGGGTAAATATTGCCAGTGCTGCAAAACAGCAATATTTTACATTGAATAGTTAAATTTACAGGACCAGTGCAACCAGGTTAGTTCATTGAAATGATGTGGCATGGGTGACCTTAGTGGTTCTTTAAAGAATATGATCATGGACCAAACCTCAAACTTCATATGGGTAACTTTGTTCATAAACACTGACACTGATGTGTTAGAAGTAAGTCAAATAACAGAAGACAGTTTTAGGGTGAACTGATATCAAACGTATTGTCTTTGGATACAGAGAGTCATAAAAATGTAGGAGCATATTAGTGAACATGTGTTTTAAATTGTGCAATCAAGTGCTCTGTCCAGTACCATGGCACCTTTACACAGATGATTGGTAAATGTGGCCTTTTAATTTGAGGATATCTAACCACGAGATAAACAGGATCATCAACGTGTGCAATTCTAAGGTTTATTTGAGCTCATCGGTAGAGACTTTGAAGGGCTGAGTTTGAGAACCTACACTGCATTTTGGGGACCTCAAATGTCCATCTTCAAGACCAAGAAATGTATGTTACATTTAAATAAAAGAAATCAAATTGATTCAAGTTTGGGAATAGTATCCAAAATCATTGCAATAAAGCCTAGCTATCCTTCCTTTTTTTCCCTTTGTTCAAAATAATCTTTTTCATACACTTTCTTTGTATAAAAAAGTACACATTGATGCATTCATTCATATTTTGAAATTGTCCTCGGATCATTATCTGCTCGTTCTCAAGACAAGCGTTGAAGGAGAAGCCCAGAATTGAAAATTGTTCTAAAATCCAAGATAATTTTATTCCAATATAGGAATGTTTTGCTACAATTACAGCTAGGTACTTTCAGAGTGTGCATCTTGTTCATTGTTCCGCACAGTAGGATAACCATGTTGATAAGAAAAATAAAGCGTAGAAGTTAAGAGAAGATTGCAAGGGATCAAAGTAAGTAAAAGTCTCTGCAGACTGTGGTTTATTTTTCTTTTTGTGTGTCGCGATGTAACAAGTTGATGTACATTTCATTCAAAGTCATTAAGCTATTTTGCACCAGACAGCTATTTTCTTCATTCAGCAAACTGAAGTGTAATGCATGCACAGACAGTCATTAAAGGATAATCAAAGTATACAATTCCTACTAATTTTTTGTCATTTTACGAGTGAAACTCTAAACGTGTATTTAAAGGAACAATGAGCATTTATATTGTTTTGTGTCACTATGGGATAGCGGAGAAAAATTTAGGGTAGATATCAACTATAATGGCATTGCAGATGAAATTGCACTTGGGATATAAAATAAATAGAATACAAACGATGAACACATTTTTTTTTCTCAATTTTTTTTTCCCTTCAAATTGTATATCCAGGTTTTAAATCCATGCGATCAAAAAGAAAATAAGAATCCCTGCTGTTTTTTGGACTGTTCTTGAGGTAGGATGTAACACGTTTCGTTTAAGAGAAGACCAGATGTAGGCTGACTCTTTGTGGAAGACTAGTGATTTTGTTGTTATAAGCTCATTTGCATGACAACAAGTCACAGTCTGCCTCAGAGTGCCCAGCATTCTCATCATCAATGGAAAAAAATGGAAAGGAGTTTGTAGTGACCTGGATACTAAAATGTGTTTTGCTTTTTTTTCCTTCAATTTTTAATAAGACCTCTAATACTGAAATATTCAGAACTCGCCCCGAACTTCACACAAACTGAACTGAAGCAAATCGTTTTTTATTTTTTCCTCTTCTGTTCCTTTAATAATGAATAATGAATGTTTATTTTACTTAGCTGTGGTAAACTAGTACTGCAGGTGCAAAATAATGGAGTGTTTCAGTATCTTTTAATACCTGTTTCTTTAAGGACCAAACTTCTGGAATAAAAGGGAATCATGACATGTCACACATGTCATGTGTCCTTAAGGAGTTAAGACCAAATTTAGAAATACATACCACTTTCTCCTGCAAAGGTGGGCCTTCACTTCAGTTCCTTCTCAGTTCTGTTCTGTGTATGTTCCCTAAGCTGACTGCCAGTTGCAAAGAAGACAAAGGTCAACATAAGTTATAGGTGATTTCAAAGTTTTGTTAACTGGTGCAAATTTCAGGAAAGTAATACTCCCCCTTTAAGGAAAAAATAAAAAATAAAATGTTAAACCATTTATTTTTTATATATGCACAGATGTTACTATGCAGCACTATATTTACTCTTTCAGCATTTATCTGTTGCATCACATTATAAATAAAATTCCGTTTACAAATTTATGCCAGGTGAATGTATAGATATTTTAATTAAGTCAAACACAGCGGTATTTTTACGATCCTGTGCTTCACGAATTAGTGGTGGCTGACTACCCTCGTTAACTGATAACCTCTGTTTTTGAGCTAGCTAAATCTTGCACTTTAGAGTCGTCAATCCCATAATGCATTGGGATAGTACACACATAATGTGAATATTACTAAGACTGAAACATAGATATATGCTGCAAACATAATTGTTAAATGTAATGTATAAATTTGCTAGACATTTTGCTAACACAACCTAAAGATAGCAATGCATTGTCTACAAAGTGTCACTATGCCATCTTTGCATGATTAAAGGTCACATTTTAATAAACGCTGAATAGTGTAGCACTGTCTGTACATGCTTTCTTCACCTTTACTCTGAAATAGAGTCGAGTAATGTCTTTTGTGAAAAAAACATAACTCTTAATTGGTTAGGACTGACTACATACAAGTCTCATCTGTCCAGAAATACGGTTTATTTTTTTAATGTTTTTTTCTTTTTATCCCCAACTGTGATAACTGTCCCGTTACTATTGTGTGTTTCTGATCACCTCAGTTGTTTCATTTGTTCATGTTGGAAGTAAAAGCAGCAAGAGGTTGCATTTGAAACTATCCTGGACATCGGACCCAAAACCTATGACAGACCAACAATTAGGCTAATTAGCCAAGTATTTAGAAAAAAAAACCTGTATCAGAACTTTTTGTTTATCAGCTCATTTCAAAGGAGTGAAATTAGAACCAATCTGTCTGTATTTTTTATCTTAATTGATATACACATGTATGCATTTTTTTGTTTGTTTTGCATTAGCCATTAACAAGGTAAAAAGAAAAGTCATTGGACTTCCGTCACTGTTTCAGCAAAATTAACCCAGTGTTTTCTGATATTTTTCAATGTAAAAAAAAATATCCCAAATATGTTCTTTGAAAAAATAAAGATGGTGTATGAGAATGAGTTACATTGTGCACCGATGGGCAAAATTGATCTACTGGATATTGGAGCTGTAACTCCAGGCCTGTGACTTACAATAGACCCCCAGCTCTTATATATATATTATTATTATTATTATTATTTATTATGATTATGTGGGGTTTTTTAAGTTTTTTTTTTTTAATAGTTTTATTAGACCATGGAATAAGATGATAATCTCCTCACACCTTAACAGATAATAAATAATGATTTTTAAAAATGTACATATAGATATGCAGTTATATTGCAAGAGCACATGGATAATTTATTTATGAATATTGGGGTTAAGTCTGTCAATCAAAATGCAAGTGAAAATGCAAAATACCGTGCTTACTTTTATTTGTGTAAAATATGAATGGTTTTATTAACAACAAAATTACTGACGTAACCTTTGATAGAAGCCCCACAGATGATGGTGCATTTTAATTTTTTCATTTACAAACAAAATACAAGTAAAAAAAAATGAGTAAAACTTTAGTTTGTATTTGGTTAAACAGTTTGCTTTAAATCCTTTACAGTTGCTATATGTTTTGTGTATTATAAGAAATGTCAGAAACCCATAGTCTGGGTACAATATGTATACACAGAGCTTCCTTCCTCTCCCAATAAAGATATTATTTAAAAGTGAACCTTACACTATCTGCCAGAGCGTGCCTTTCTTTATAATAAAAAGTCACCAGATCCCGTCTAGTGAACCTTAATTGAATTTAATGCACACCAAGGTACTTAAAGGAAGAAACACAGGATAGAAAATGTGTGTTTTAATGTGAATCTGTGTGCCATGAGAACGTTTCTTTGTACATGAAATTAGCAAGTTTGGATAATTTTATGGGTTCACCATGTACAATCACCAACCTTTGGACTATGGAATACAAGTGTATACCTTCATCTGCAGTAAAATGAATGGACTCTTGAATTGTTTCCCACTGTGGAATTCAGCAACTTTTAACTAATAAAGTGTATGCAGGAGGACATGCTAGTTTGTGATTCTTGGATTATACACCCAGCTCTTTGTGCTATGATATAATTTGTGAATAGGTTATTCCTGGTTAACCTGGTTTTATTATTATACATAGCATGTTTTTCCCTGTGAAGATGGAGTCAAAATATCTTGGCAATGAGACACCGGTCTTAAATACATTTTGGAGTTGAAGATGGAGCAAGCGAGTCACTCTGTAGTTAAAGCTTCACTAAAGTTTGTAATCAGGGAGCAACACAAAAGACATATTTAATTTGAGCATCTGGTCAGATGTGGTAGACAGACCTAGTCACTAGTACATGTCTACACTATTCTTAAGACCCTAATATTTATATTTGGGTTAGGATTATTACTAGTCGGGTAAATTGAACAAATATGCCTCCTGTTAAATCACAGCAAGATTATAGAACTATGTCAGCACCTACCATGCTCTAGTGTGAAACACCTTTCTATCCCTGGCCCAGCAAAGACAGCCAGACCAAGGATGGCAAAACCAAAACGTACCTAGATATATGTTGGCTTCCGTTAATGAGTGTTACTCCCTGTATCCTCTAATTGCAAGCTGTGGCAGTAAACATGGTACTTAGTGTAATAATAGTTTTACCTCTAACCTTGGACATGTGAAAATGTTAGCTCACATTAATATAAATTTAATAATATTATTTATGCAGAAAATATGTCCATTTATATTAAAAGTATTTTTTTTCTATATCTAAATTAATATAAATGCTCTATAATAAACTCATGACAGCAAATGTACAGAAACATGTATCAGATTATGTTTGGGTGAAATACTGAATTTATGCTTTTTGTTTAAAAATGTATGTTGACCAAGGCCATATAAACATTTTATGCAATTAAAAACTGTATATACACAAGATAAAATATACTTAGAGAGATACTAGAGTGCAATACTGAACTATTTTTAATTTCATATAGCATTCCATATTGTTCTTTCAAAGGCCCTGGAGTGTCCTGCAGTTTTGATACGAACAGGGTTAAATCATTGCTCACACTGGGGAGATCCAGATAACTGCCAATACCTGGGCCTTTGTTTGTCAGCTGGTACCATATTTAGTGGCCCCAGACTGATTGATGAGCTGTGGGCAGCGCCCTTGATTCTCTGAGATAGTGAGACAGTCAGCTTTCTTAATAAAGAACCAGTATTTCCCTTACAACAGTAATCTGTGCATTCTGCCCATTACCAATCACTGTGATCAGTAAGGATGGTATAAAAATGCCGCGTGAGAGAGAGATCTCCCTTTCGTGGTGTATTAGCACAGTACAGAGCATTTGCTGTTGCAGAACTAGAGGAATCCCTCTGCTGATGTTCACAGTGACATCACCTAATACTTGGTATTAATGTTAAGGTTTAGTTTGGTGTAAGATTAAGGTTTATGTACGGTTGGTTTTTTAATTAATGTAGTGCAAGCCCTCCCCTTCTTCCCCAGCACAAACTCTCTTTGGCTGTCCAATCACAAACTTCCCAATGCAACTCACTAAGTAGTCTTTGCAAGGCAGGTGCTGTCTCTTAAATTAGAACTGGCTATTTGATTGACAGCTGTGGAGGTGTAAGGTTCTATAAAATCTATAAATCTGTTGATTCATACTATAATTAGCAGTTTTAAAAAATAAAAAAAGAGGATACCCTATTTATATATAAAACCTGTCAGAAAGCTGAATACACTGGAAGTCTATATTTCATAAATATATACTTTTGCATATAACAATGTGACTATTGATCTGGTTTTACCAGATTTTGCAAAGGATTATTTTTAAAACCCTAATTTACTCCTTGTAATATTTTTCCTATACATTCCAAAAATAAACTGAAATCCTAGATGTAGAAGACATTTACAGTTAATATACGAATCTATATTGAGTCATTTTTCTTTAGTTATATGTGCTGAAAATTGTGATAAGCAAAACACTCTAAAAAAAAATTCTTTTTTTAAAACGATATGTATTATTCATTCTTACTGTTGTGTTAAATATAGACACTGAGTATCAAAAGAGATATCAACTGGTCCTAAAAAAAACAGGATATATGAGTGTGTGTGCACTTAAAGAGGGGAACATTATTCTTGTTGAAAAATATACCACAAATACCAGATTTTATTTTTGTTCTGAAGTTGAATAATTGCCATGGTCCTTAAGGAATTAAAACATTTTCTATCTCTAAATGTAGGCAAAACCATGGAGCATGGGTGGGGGCTCTAAATAGTTAAACAATAGAGGGGCATGCCATTGCACCTTACCCCCCCCCTCCCCCCCCCCAATAAATAACCCTACCTACACCCATCATCCTGATAAAAGTGAGGGGGCAAATAAAGCTTTTACAAACTATTCTTTTCTTCAGCCCCCAAAAGACTAAACTAAAATCCATAATAACAGACACAACCAATGAAAATGAAAAACAACCCAATTTGCACAAATTCAACAATGAGATGCAAATTAAATGAATTCATATTTGCCTTACAGGGACTTGCCACAGACTCAGCTCTCATAGCCGAGAAAGCCCTCATATAGGTTTTCTCACACTATGTCAACTTTTGCATCATGTGGGAATATTTCAAACACTATGCAATATGAGTAAACCAACCAATCAGAACACTCTGGGAGCCAAGTCTAAAACATCACAAATGGCATAGGCCCTCTCTCTAATGGCACAAGTGAGCAAAAACATTTTGAGACCTGAGCAAGGACTAACCAAAGGACAAGCTATTAAGGTTTCTCTGAGCTTTTGCCTGTTATCAGAGTTCTTCTATTATCTGGTTTTATGGTGCAGTGTGTGTCAGGTGTATGGATGGGTGTAAGTGACAGCGTATTATAAGACTATGTGCTAGGAAGAGTTTGAGCGTAAGTGGAGTCTGCATAACAGGGTGGGTGTTAGAGCTACATTGCGAGGAGATACAAAAGGGACGACTAGGCTGGTTATAAAGTGGAAGGTATATGACGGAAGTCACATTAAAAGGACACTGCAGGCACTATAAACATTTAATCTCACTGAATTTGTTATAATGCATGGAGTCATCTGGCACTTTCTCTCCATTCAGTGTTAAAACATTTTCAAGAAGTTTAACATTAAATAGGCATCCCTGGCAACCCACAGCCCAGCCTTCACTAGATTTAGAGCTACGTTAGTGATTACACATTTCCTTCTAGACATACCAATTCATACCATCATTGGAACTGCAACAGGCTGAACGTGGTCAGCTGACACTCTTAGCTTCTCATTGCTGCTCCGGCTAATGCTTCCTGATTAGCCAAGCAGCACATAGAGGACTCTCGTTCACATTTTAGTCACTGTAACAGCTTCATCTCATTGAAGTGGTTAGAATGTCTATAAGGGGAAGAAGAGAGAACTGGAAGAAATGAAGAAATGCCAGAGCAAGCATTAAATACATCCGATTTGATTCAACACTTTTTTAAGCCCTAGCTATATGTAACTTCACTTGAATTTAAAAAAAAAATCCCCCTTTTTTGTGCATTAAGGCTCCCTCCCCCCCCTCTCCTCATGAAGGTTTCAGTAATTTAGTCCTATTTCTTGTTTTCAGCAGAAAGACAACCCGTATATGCTCTCCCAGGATTAAGGTGAATTTACATCTCTGTATCTCTCGTGATTGTCTTTTGCTTCCAGCGATTATTCTTTCAGTTATGAAAGCTATCTGACCATGAATGGGTGTTCAAATGTGTTTAAAACGAAACATTTTAACTTGCTGTTATGTTCTGCCTTCTGGTAATGCATACACTGCATCCAACTTTGTTCCATGTTTTCTTCACACAAGTCCATCCAGGTGTCATGATTTTCATGTGAGAGAGCTTTTGATAGAATTTCCATTCCCTGGAGACTTTGTATTCTTCCAACTATTCACTCCTATCTAACCACATGCTTCAACTGCAAACAGTAGTGCTGCCAATGTGAAGAAACAAAGCAGGAAGAGCACACAAATGCAAAATCACATTGCGGAGAGCATGAACAAAACAATTACCAGACAATTCTTAAGAATTGTTGCAGATGCAGTTTGCTTAAATATTTTTTAAAGAAGAAGTCATCGGTTTAAGGTTGGATAAACTTTTGCTATCTTTTATAAGATTATACCCCAACAATGGTTAGAAAATTAACATTGATTGAAACATCATATTATGAGTAGAGATGTCGCGAACCGTCCGCGAACTTCTCGCGAACGGTTCGTGGCGAACTCCGGTCAGCTGACACATCCCGGCCAATCTCCGGCAGACCCTCACTCCCAGACCCTCCTACTTCCTGGACAGCATCCATGTTGAAGGCAGCTTCTCTAATTATGAGTTGTCCCATCAAGCCTGTCCATTTTGAAGCGTAATACCTATTTCTCTTATTTGCTCCTATTATAGCTCAATTCATATTGCAAGCATTCATAAAGACTTAATTGTACTACTATAATGCTTCTAGCCCAAAAAGGAACATTCTAAGGTTAGGAGTACAAATATTTATTACCAACACTAGAGAATGTTATACTAGCTATTTAGATCATTCCTCCTCCCCCATCCCTCCCCATCTCCTTATTTTCCAAATGATATGGTACATGTAATGGGAACAAGGGTGACTGATCTGCGAGTTGAGATCCAGTCCTGCCCCACTGCTTTGCCAGTCCTTTCTCCTCTGGCACAAGAAACCCCAATCATTTTCAGGCAGGAATCGAACCCATGCCTACTGCCAGCTCCATCTTTATAAGGACACTTTTTGGCTCTAAAGCCTAGATATTTTTCCCACAGGACATTTGACTCTGTAGCTGATTCCAAACACCAAGAAGAAGACCTTAGACTCTGTCACTAGGCTCCTGGAAGGACCACACAAAGATACAAAAGGAAAAGGAACTAGCTCAAGTCTTTAATCTTGAACTAGGACTACCTTTTACCAACTTCACATAAATTTTTTGTGAGGGATATATAACAATGTTATAAATAAAATATAACATATAATAAAACATGACATATAATAAAACATAAAG